AAATCTCTGAGTCCTAATAAAGATGAAGTTCCTGCAAAGCCCTCCCAGGAGGTTCCTCTCAGTTCTCTCAGGCATATTCAGAAATAATTTTTGTTTGAAGATATGTTCACAGATACCCTTCTGTTTGGTATTTTAAAGCATCTCAGACTGGAGATCAGGACCTAGGTTTTAGGCATGTGTCAAAAGATGGGCTCTCTATGCATTTTGGACTTTATTTTTCCATCTGTGGAATGGGCAGGTAGAGCTAAAAATCACAGACACCTTCCAGAGGTGTTGACTCTCCTTCCTTCCTTTTGCTTTTCTGGACTCTTGGAGCTGTCTTCCTTTCCTTACTGCCAACTTTTCTTTTATTCTATTCTGTCTGTTATGAATGCATCTCATTAATTCATAACAAAAGTGGCTGTTGGATATTAGATGAGTACTTGCAATGTGCCAGGGAGCACTTTGTCTGCTCTATTTAATTTAATCTTCCCAGTAACCAATTACATTGTTTCATACCAATAGGTATTCATCTAAATCATTTCCTATATTGTATCACAACAATATTCCATATTCTTAAATGCCCAAATGTTGGCTAGTTAATCAGTTTCCAATATTATAATATTAGAAGGATAAATATTGACACATATATGTGTTTGTGTGTGTGTGTGTGTATATATATATATAAACAATGCTATAATAAATGTATATATACATGTGTGTATACATGTATATATGTGTATGTGTGTATATATATATATATGTATATATGTATATATATACACACACACAGTTCATTCATTCAACAAATATTTGATAAATGCCTGCTATGTGCCAGGCATTCAAGTTATGATGATGATCAAAAAAATCCTATCTCTTGGCTTCGAGGACCTTACAGTGCATTGGAAAATGTAAGTAAACAGAGAATTACATGACAGAGTGAGTAAATAAATGGAGTATAAAAGAGGGGTGATCAGGAAATGCTTCCTGGAGTGGAGCCCTGAAAGATGAGAGACTACTGATAGAGATATATGACAAAAGGTTCCTGGAGAGGAGAAATGAAGGGTTTTACAGAAACTGAAAGATCTATAGTAGAGCTAATATGTTTTACAAAGTGCTGTTTGCAACCCATTAGTTATAAAACCAATTCCTTTAGTCATGGCCAATATTTCATGTAAAATGAGATAGAATAAAAGAGAATGGAAAATACCAGAGACTGTAGAAAGGTTAAATCTTGTTTTAAAAACTTTTGTTTCATTATGTGTAGGAGCCAAGTCAAAAATATTTGAGAAACACTGAGCTAGATAGAATGTCAAGAATGTGTAGGGGAGACAGCTTAAGGAGTGTCAGAGATGTGATCTGAAATGAATCTTACTATATCCTGAAGACAATGGAAGCCATTAAAGAGTAATTCAGGGAATGTTGTGATCACATTTGTGTTTTGGAAAGATCCCTCTAGAGAAAAGATGAAAGAGGAGCCAGGAGACTGCTCAGGTAGCTATTGCAGTAATGCACAAGAGATCAAGATGGGCTGGACTGGGACAGCAGCAATGGGGATGGAGAGAGAGCCCACTTAAGGTTGGCCCTCAATGTATAAAGATACCAAGCTGTACTGCTGCATAATTAATTCCCTTCAGGTGTAAACAGTAAGTGATGTGCAAGGCAGAGAAGTCAGAATGATTGATCTTCACTGGGGATTTGACCAATAAGTAAGATGAGATGACACTGGGGCTTGGGACTACTAAGAGAGAAATGGAATTATTAGGCTGTAAAATCTAATCTGGATTTTAAAAGAAATTAAATCCAGAAGCTGATTTAAGTTAAAAATAGTGAGAACAAGACACCTACCAGAATAGCTTAAATTAAAAGGACTAGTATTGGTGAGGATGTGAAACAAGTAAAGTTCTCATATACTGCTGGTGGAAGTAAAAATTGGTACAGTCAATTTGGAAAACTGGTTGGCAGTATCTACTAAAGCTTATCATATACAAATCTTATGACCCAACTATTCTACTCCTTGGTCCTCCTCTTCCCCAAAGAGAAAAGCATGCATTTGTCCAAAAAGACATGGACAAGAATGTTCATAGCAGCCTTATTCATAATAATAAAAAACTGAGAGCAGCTTGAAGTTCATCAATAGTAGAATGAATAAATTGTGATGTTTGAACATTGAAATATTATACTGTCTCTCTCCCCGTTAAGTGTGATTACCAGTTATCAACTGACAACAGTATAGCAATCTGTAGTGCCTCAGTGCATGGAACTGCAGAGGATTACTTTTTTAATATGAATAGTACAAGATTACTATTCTGTTTCTTTTGATGAGTTAATTTTGCCATTAAAAAGTCATTTTATTGTTGTTCCTTACCAATGTACACTTTTTGATGGAATAGAGTCAGCAATTCAGTGAAGCAAAGTGAGGATTAGAAGGTCATTCACACGAGCAGAAGAAGCAGATGCACTTAAGTAGAAGAAATAGGCCTGTGCCTTTGCTGAGCCTGACACTATGGTCCTGAACAGAGGAGACTTTTAAGGCAAACATTTAAAATCTATATACTCATTGCATGAACGAATAGCCTCAGTCAGCGTAGATACTCTTATTGAATCAAGTAGGGTTTGAAAACAGAAATCTAGAAAAAAGCATGGACTTGTTCTTTGTTCTTCCATTACTGTAGATATTAACTGGTTTCGGTCTTCAGTTGTAAAACAACCGAGTAATGTAGCACCTGCAACCAGAGGGAGGTTACATATGACGCCTGTGTTGAAAGAAGCCTGGTTTGCATGTTATTGTCATGATATCACTTTGGGCCACAAGTTCTTTGAGTCTAGAGGCTATGTGTTGTCTTTGTATCACCCCATGGTCTGTTACAGAATATCTAGCATAGTCTCATTATCTGTAGGCTCTAAAGCTGTTATGTTAGTCTTAGCGACTTCTTTATTAGAAGTACTTGCATTTTCAGGATTCAAAGTTTGTTTTTAAAAATTGGCTATTATATACTGTGCTGGGTTTTAGTGACAATATAAGAACTATTTATAATTGATATGTTAGGTGTCCAAAACACATTAACATACCTAAGAAACTTTGGAAAGTTTCTTGACTATTTTAAACATACTCAAATTAATCCAGTTTACATGGTTAAAAAAAATTATACTGTCTCTTGCAAAAACATGGGTTAATCTCACAAACATAATAGAGAAAGAAAGAAGCAGACACAAAAGAGATACCATTTATAGAAAGGTTAAACAGATAAAACTAATCTGTGGTGTGGGAGATCAGAATAGTGGTTACCTTTGATGGAGGCCAGTAATGGCTCAAAAAACTTCAAGGAATTGAAAATGTTCTGTTTCTTGATCTGGGAGTTGATTATATGAGTGTGTTCCTGTGTGGAAAACCATCAGGCTTTACGTTTAATCTTTGATCAAAATCAAAGATTTTTGATTGTGAAATATGTTTTACTGCAGGCTTTTAAAAAGTAGAAAATCAACAGAGACTAACTATTGTCATAGAATAAATTCTAGCAGAAGTACAATTTCCGGTTCCATGGACAGGCACCTCAGCTGCCCCAAGTTGAGTTTCTCACACACTTCAGTTCATGGCTTAGTAGTCTAAGTAAGACTTCTCTTATATGTTATTTCGTGCTATTTTTATTCTCTTTATCCCCCATCTTCCTCTCTCCCAGGTACCCATCCTAGTGTATTTAATATCTATCCTTTAAATTCACTGTCCATTCTTCTATGTAGAAATATGTGTATCTGAAAAACTCATCGTGGTGTTGTATATATGTGCTTTTAAGATATACAAGTGATGCTGCGCTAAAAATCTCATTTTGTTTCTTACATGTTAACCTTAAGTACTATGAATTTGAGATATGATCATGTTATATGAAAATATTATAATTGCTGCATGGCATTCCACTGTATGCATGCTTTTTTTTTTTTTTTTTGCGGTACGCGGGCCTCTCACTGTTGTGGCCTCTCGCGTTGCAGAGCACAGGCTCCAGACGCGCAGGCTCAGCAGCCATGGCTCACGGGCCCAGCCGCTCCGCGGCATGTGGGATCCTCCCCGACCGGGGCATGAACCCGTGTCCCCTGCATCGGCAGGCGGCCTCTCAACCACTGCGCCACCAAGGAAGCCCTGTATGTATGCATGCATTTTACTTCTTCATTCCCTAATAATGGACCTCCACATTGCTTCCCACTCCTCACTCCATCCCACAAACTGTACACGTTTACTCATGGATCTGTGTGACAGTTAATGAAGCACATTGTACAAGCTTGTCATCTTTATCATCAATTTTTTTCCAGGAAGATTCAATCACATTCCTATCAGGTTTTATAATTCTTTTTAATTTTTTTTCCCCAATCTGATAAGCAAAAATTATCAATATATCTTAATTTGTATTTTAAAATAACTTTAAAAATTTAAAATAAAAAAACTAGTAAGATTAAATCTTTTTTTCATATGTGTTTTGGTCATTTGTATTCTTCTTAGTCAACTGCTCATTCATGCCTTTAATTCATTTTTCTTCTGGGATTTTTTTCTTTTCCTCATTGATTCTTAAGAAAGATTCACATATTAACAAAATTGACCTATGTGCATACATTGCAGATATTTTTCTCATTTCAGTTTGTCTTCTAACTTTGTTTATTATGGTGCTGCTTGTGGTAATTGGGGAGTTTATTTTGGTTTTTTTGCTGTTTTGTTATTTGGTTTGGTTTGGTTTTGGCCTTATAGTTGCCTTTTTGTTTCCTTTAAAAAAATTTTTTTTTTGTATAATGCCTTTTTATGGTTTTGGTTTGGGGGTAATACTCAAGAAGAGCAAAAAAACCTTCTAATTCAGTTATACGTTAACAGGTAAGGGAAATATAAGCGAGGGAGACTAAGGTTGAGAGGAACATTAATCCTATCATGACACATCAGGGAAGAAAGTAACCAACCAAACCAAAAGGAACTGTATTTGCAAAACAAGTTTTTGAAGTTAGAACCCATTTGGAATGTTTAAGATAAGCCAAAATAGTGCAGGCTTCAGCAGCATATATACTAAAATTGGAATAATACAAAGAAGATTAGCATGGCCCCTGTTCAAGGATGACTTGCAAATTCGTGAAGTGTTCCATATTGGGGGGAAAAAAGGTATTTGGACCACAGTAAGAATTCAATAAATGGTAGCAGTTGTTAAGACAAAAGAAGAAAAGATAGACCAAAATATACCCAGGATGTTGTTTTGATTGTACCTACCCTCTACTCACCTATACAATATGATAGTCTTGTTAGGCACTGAAGTCAGGGCAGGTTCCAACCGTCGTGACTTGAGATCCTGGGTCCTGTGTCATGCAGTGTCAAGAAGCAAGAAGTGGCAGCCTCTCGCCACATTGGCTGACTAGCATTGGTGGGAATTTTAGACCACCAGGCTGATATCTGCAGTGTGTCACATGGTGAAGAAAGCAATGGTTCTTCTCTGGTCAGCATAACTGCTGAAGAAGTACAGTTACTTCTTTTTCTAGACACTTCAGTTAGAAATTCAAACCATGCCTTATTGAAAAGGGGATTTGAGATTGCCTACATGCAAAAATATAGTGCAAGATTTAAAGAGTAGATGAAGAAATTATGGAAAAGGAAAAATTAGAGTAGGACAAATAAGATAAAACCAGGGATAACATTATTACGCAAAATGCATACCTAAAAGTTGAGTACAAGTTGTGAAATAAGGGCAGGAATTTGAGCTGCCTCGCATTAAAAGCAAAAAGAGTGAAGCCTTTTCATGAAAGTTGTTAATGAAAATTACAATCATTCCTGATACTGAGTTCTGAGAGAAATTTCTCCACTGAGTAACCATAAAGAGAATACTGCCCCATGACCTAGTTGATAAAACCCTCAGCAACATATAAGCAGCAACAGTATAAGCCCTCCAATGTAGGCAACTAAGGGGAGTACTTGATATTTTTACATCCAGTGAGTCTCATACAAAAAGGGTTGAAAATGTCTCCCCTTTCTTGATTAGAAGATTCTCTTAGATAAGGAAGAAAGATGTTATGAATGTTCATAACATTCGGTTCAAAATACACGTGGCAAATTTTGTTCCTTTGAATTTCTGTAGTCAAATTTTCAATGTTGCAGGGCAGGCTTGGATAGGAATTTTGTAGCAGAAAAGGACTTTCACATTAAACTGTGTAATTCCTTGCTGGCTTTTTATTCCTACCCAGTGCAAGCTATCCTTTTTATAATTCTGCAGGGTACTTAATAAACAAAATTTTATTGTAATAATGATTTGAACTACACAGTTGATTTGCTACCCACAATGACTACTTTTCTCTTCCTTCTATTAAGAGTGGTTTTGTATATGTTTTCAAATAAGTCGATTGAGCAATAAGAGTGATGAAGAGGGTAGCTTAGAGGAAAAGAGTTAACAGGAACTAAAGGGAGGATGCGGCATGCATTTTTGTGTCATCTTATTTTTGTCCTGGTGCTCTTATAGACAGAAGTGGAGCGAATGCACACTTTATGGAACACAATCGGCCTGGGCAAAAACTGTCCTGTATTTGGAATGAGTTTTGGAAGCAGAACAGAGGTGTGTTTTTCATTATGCCACATTGGATTTTTGCATTCGAGAGTATAATTACCAAACCCAGCCCTTAAACCACTGCAAAAACATCACATGTTTCTTACACACATTTTTTCCCTTCAAACTAGCACTCAAGTGCCCACCAAGGGCCCTGCCCACAGTAGGGTTCGTTTAAAATTCTTTTCAAACACAGTTGTAACATGGCCCTCATCCACAAAACAAGTATTATCAGAAGTTAAATCATAGGATTATTCTTACATTACAGATAACTAGGTACATTCAATGTATAATAGTTGTTATATTAAGACCTTGGGCCAGGCTCTCCCTGTGTATAAAATTGCCATCCAGACGGCAAGCTCTCATCAATGCACCAGTATCTCTTTCAAGCTTATAATGAACCCGTGCTATAAACTTGAAGTTTAGAAGGTCAATTCAGTTTGGAGTTTAACTTATATTTAAAGTTTAGAAGCAGTGCTAAGGAGAAATAAAGACAGAAAGAGGTAGATATTTTATGCTTCTTTTTTTCCCAGAGAGCTCTTTTGGGGTCAGTGAGAAATTCTAAGCATCAAGCCCTCTTACGATCCCCCTTCCTTACTGCATATTGCAAACCCATGATTCTCCACTCACCTCTGCAGGCTGGGGGACAGCAGTTACTGAGGCTTCCTGGGCAGGAGGAGTTTCTAACTGAATCGTGTTCTAGCAGCTTAAAGATTTAATGCAGCTTTTTGAAGAACCTTAGTCAAGAGGAGTAGCATGGGAAAGGGAGTCATTTATCACCTATGGGTTAGTGTGGAATATACACTAATATAATGCAAGAAGCTTACAGGTGTTACATTAACAAACACTTATTTTAATAGTTAAGTGTTTAAAATAATAATAATTATTGCATTTAAATAGTACTTACTATGGGCCAGACATTATGCCTTATCTCCACTAACTCATTTAGTCCTCAGAACTCTAGGAAGAGGGTAGGTAATATTATTGTCCCCTGTTACAGATGAGGAGACCAAAGCACAGAAAGATCAAGTGATTTGTCCCTGGTTGTTTAGGAAGTTACAGGTAAAGCCTGGATCTGAACCTTTATAATCTAGCTCCAGTGTCTATGCAGTTAAGCCCTCTCCAGCTCTTCTCAGCCATATCGAGGGCATCCATTGTGTGTAACGAATTGCCTCCTCACCTATGCGTCTAGAATAGTGATAGCTAAGTACCATCCTTGGGTGCATAGTGTCTATCTAATGACTTCAGAAAAAGTCACTTAAATAACTTCCTGCTTAATTCTCTCACATAACCCCAATTGGAAAAGGCCATTCGATTATACAGTATAACACGTATTAGAGAAATACATGACTAGCTGTATTAATTATTGCTATGGACTGAATGGGGCTTCCCCTTCATATGTTAAAGCCTAATCCTTAATTCGATAGTATTTAGAGGTGGGGCTATGGAAGGTAATTAGGTTTGGATGAGATCATGGGAGTGGAGCCCCCATGATTGTATTGGTGCTCTTGTAACGAAGAGCCCAGTGCGCTCTCTCTCTCTCTCTCTCTCTCTCTCTCTCTTTCTATCTCTATCTCTGCCATGTGAGGACACAGCAAGAAGATGGCCATCTGTGAAGCAGAGAGTAGCCCTCACCAGACACCAAATCTGCTGGCACCTTGATGTCAGACTTCCCAGCCTCCAGAACTGTAAGAAATAAATTTGTTGCTGAAGCCACCCAGCCTATAGTATTTCTGTTATCGCAGTCCAAACTAACAAACACATTTATCCATTATTGTGTTAAAGATTACTCCAAAACTTAATGGCCAAAACAGCAAATATTTATTATCTCATAATTTATATGGGTCAGAAATGAAAACTTATGTTTACACAAAAACCCATACACAAGTGTTCCAAAAACTGGAAATAACTCAAATATTCTTCAGAAGGTGAATGGTTAAGCAAACTGTGGTAAATCCATACTATTGAGTACTACTGAGCAACAAAAAGGAGCAGACTACTGATACATGCAGCAACTTGGGTGGGTATCAAGGGAGTTATGCTAAGTAAAAAAAGCCAATTTCAAACGGTTACATGACTTCATTTACATAACATTTTCAAAATGACAGAATTATAGAGGAATTTGAGAACAGATTGGTGGTTGTCAAGGTCTAGGGAGGGCGAGGAAGAATGGTGGCTGTGTCTGTAAAAGGGTAGCACGAGAGATCTGTGTGATGGAACTGTTCTGCTGCTTGATGTGACGGTAGTCACGTGCATCTACACACATGATTCCAATTACACAGAATGAAATACACACAAAAGGAGTGCATGCAAATCTGGTGGATGATATCAATGTCAATTTCTTGTTTGGGATATTATTCTATAGTTATGCAAAATATTGTTGTTGGGGGAAACTGGGTGAAGGATATATAGCATTTCTCTGTATTATTTCTTACAACTGCGTGTGTAGCTCATTTAGATTAAAAATACAACAGTCAACTTATTTTTTTAATCAATAAAATGAATAGGATGAGTACATTCTGAGAAAATCTACAGAAAGTAGGACAAAAAAAGTAAAGATGCAAAATATAAGAGACAAGAAAAATGATTATAGAATCAATCCAGGTGGGGAATAAGGAATGGCTGTTATTATGTGGTTTCTTTTGGGGGTGATGAAAATCTTCTAAAGTTAGTTTATGGTGGTGGTTGCACAATTCTATGAATATACTAAAAAATGATGAATTATACACTTTAAATGGGTGAATTTTATGGTATGTGATGCTTTTAAAAATAAAGAAAAAAGAATCAATCCAGGAGCGTTAAGACCAGACTAATAGAACTTCCACAAAAAGATAACATGAAAAATACTAGGGAGGGAATTTTCAAATAAATATTTCAAGAAAATTTCATAGAATTAAAAGATATGCTTTTATAGATTTAAAAGACCTATGTAAAAGACTTAGAACAATGAAAATAATATGCATACCAATGCACAACAATGTGAAATTTTAGAATACTAGGCACAAAGAGAAAATTCTAAGTTTCCCAAAAGAAAAAAAGTCACAGACAATGCATAAAGAGTAAGGATGTTAACCAGATTTGTTTAAACTTATTTTTAAAATTTACACACAGTAAAATTTGCTTCTTTTGGAGTATAGTTCAATGAATATTGACAAATGCAGAGTCATGTAACCACCACCACAAACGAGATACAGTTCTATAACCTCAAAAATTTCCTTGTGCTGCCCCATTGTAGTCAGACCCTCCTTCACCAGTGTTCTCTGACAAGCACTGATCTGTTCTCTAACACTATAGCTCTGCCTTTCCCAGAATGCTATGTAAGTGGAATAGTGCAGTATGTAGCCTTTTGAAATTCATCCATGTTATTGCATGCATCAATGGTTGATTCCTTTATGGGGCTGAGTTGTAATCCATCATATACATGTACCATAGTTTGCTTATCCATTCACCAGGTGAAGGATATATGGCTTCTTTACAGTTTTGGCTAGTATGAATAAAGCTGCTAAAAACATTCACGTATGGGCTTTTGTGAAAATATAAGTTTTCATTTCTCTTGAGTAAATA